CCTTTTTTCTGTTAATAATAATAAATTTAATCTGTTCGGTTGGCGAATCTCCATAAAATGACGTGTAAAATTACAATTTTTAAAAAGTTCAATAACTTTTTAACGATTTGTAATTTTTACAGGAGTTTTAGAATTGAATGAGGAACGTTCTTCCAAATTTTTATTTGGGTCGTAGCATTTTGACATACCTCCAAATCCTTAATTTGCTCAATACTGGTTACAATTTTTGTCGCTTGTTGGTAAATCAGCCGGGTACTCGGTTATCCGGTTCCCGACAGTGTCACTATTTGGTGCGTCTCTAATCCCTATGTTCTTTTCACAACTCGCCACTAGTGTATATGTAATGTTTTTCTTTACGTATACGTAATATCCGATAAGTAATATATTGACAGCGTGACCTATACTGATTGTTAATCGGTGTTTTCCATTAGTGGAGGGTTATTATTATCATCTCGGTCGAATTTTACGTCACACTTGGTTTATATGTGGAGCTTGATTTTTATGTATTCGATATCATGATAAAAGACAGGACTTAATAAGGTTTTCTTTACAAAACATTAACAAAAGTTAAAAATTATTAGAATAACTTAAAATAAGATGTTGTTTCTTATAACTAATCTAAAATTTAGTATATACACGAACCACTTTGACATTTAATAGGGGACGATATCAAATATATTAATATGAAAATTCATTTTAATTTTTGCCCACTATAAACTACCTCGACAGCAACAAATTTTTCCTCATTAACTTGAGGTAGTTCATAGTGGGATTGAAAATTAAAAATGAATTTTCACATTAACATTTAATGTTATTGCTTTTTATTTATTAGTGGCCGCTGCAATTCCTTCCTGACNGGTAAAAATTGAGAATATTTCATATTAAAAACTAATTCACTTCGGGAAGATTTCTACATTGTATATATATTTATATTCAGTACATAGTTACATTAGTCATCTACATCTGTGACTAATAGTACGGTTTGTCGTTGTTGCTGTTGTCATCTCTCGTAGCTTAGTGGTCAAAGCATTGGCGCGTAAAGCCAAAGAGCCCGCGTTCGATTCTCGGCGGGGGTGTGTCAACAGCAACAAATTTTTCCTCATTAATTTGAGGAAGTGTGTAGTGGGTAAAAATTGAGAATATTTCATATTAAAAACTAATTCACTTCGGGAAGATTTCTACATTGTATATATATTTATATTCAGTACATAGTTACATTAGTCATCTACATCTGTGACTAATAGTACGGTTTGTCGTTGTTGCTGTTGTCATCTCTCGTAGCTTAGTGGTCAAAGCATTGGCGCGTAAAGCCAAAGAGCCCGCGTTCGATTCTCGGCGGGGGTGTGTCAACAGCAACAAATTTTTCCTCATTAATTTGAGGAAGTGTGTAGTGGGTAAAAATTGAGAATATTTCATATTAAAAACTAATTCACTTCGGGAAGATTTCTACATTGTATATATATTTATATTCAGTACATAGTTACATTAGTCATCTACATCTGTGACTAATAGTACGGTTTGTCGTTGTTGCTGTTGTCATCTCTCGTAGCTTAGTGGTCAAAGCATTGGCGCGTAAAGCCAAAGAGCCCGCGTTCGATTCTCGGCGGGGGTGTGTCAACAGCAACAAATTTTTCCTCATTAATTTGAGGAAGTGTGTAGTGGGTAAAAATTGAGAATATTTCATATTAAAAACTAATTCACTTCGGGAAGATTTCTACATTGTATATATATTTATATTCAGTACATAGTTACATTAGTCATCTACATCTGTGACTAATAGTACGGTTTGTCGTTGTTGCTGTTGTCATCTCTCGTAGCTTAGTGGCCAAAGCATTGGCGCGTAAAGCCAAAGAGCCCGGGTTCGATTCCCGGCGGAGGTATGACAACAGCAACAATTTTTCCTCATTAAGTTGAGGTAGTGTGTAGTGGGTAAAAATTGAGAATATTTCATATTAAAACTACTCACTTCGGGAAGATTTCTACATTGTATGTAATATTTACATGCCTAGAAATGTATAAAAAATGGCATATTTATTAACTTTGAACCTCCATAACTTTTTATGGTACAGTGGTGGGGATGACCTCCTCTTTCGATCCCCCCCGCCCCTTCGGGGATGGGTTGCCATCATTTAGACCTTTATCAAACATTCTTCAAGAAATCCCCAGTTTTTTATCAAAGTGTTTTATACTCCGGTTTAATTAAAAAATCCCAAAAATCTACTTCTTTTTAGTCTTTTCGTTGAAACAAAAAAATGGCATGACTGAATGTTATGCAATTTCGTTTTTAATCAACAACCTCAACGAGTCGATATCATTTTTTTCCGAGCGATATCGTGCAGGAAAACAATGACCACGCACGTACGTAATTATACACACATATGCAGGTAATCTCCAAATTGTTGCAATGCTGATATGACCTTTAAACTGTAAAATGAAATTAATAATAAAAAAAATCGACACACAATTTTTGAGTAATTGTTTTTTCTGAAAGGCACAACAAAATATAATTGTAGAGCTACACATTTTTTTTAACAAATAAAAGTTAGAAGAAGAAGTAACAATTGAAAGAAGGAAGTTAAAATTGTGAAATATTTGAAAAATAAATAGCAATAAACTCAAAAAACAAAAACGAAAAATGAATGAAAATCTTAATATTATTATGGAAAAAACATGCATGTAGCGCAATAAGTACTACCCATTATCTACATAGGTAGGTACGTCAAAAAATAAAAATAATCAAGGAAAAATTAAGTAATCGTCACGTCGAAAATTCAAATCAAAATATAAGACCATGTTAAATTGAATTGTCTCCATTGTTAAGTATAATATTTAAAAAAAATATAATTTTTTTGTTTTTCTGTTATTGAGTGTATTAAAATTTATTTGATTTAATTTGTGATAAATAAGTTTTTATTTTGAGTAATAATCTTATCTTAAGAGAAAGTCAACTCCATGAGGGCTTTTCCAGTTATAATTCAAAAGTATATTTAGTCAAACTGTACCGATGATCAAATAATGACAAATATTCCCAAAGGGAATACCTTTTTTTAAATATCAAACTGTTTAAACATATTTAGTTATCATGCCTGATTAATTTTGAAATGAAATGAAACTTGTAACTTGCAATAGACAGTCATTTATTTCACATCTTTAATTTAGAAAATATTTTATTTATTTACCTATTTATTAAAAATTGAAACCCGAAAATGACNTTTAAAACTAACTCACTTCGGGAAGATTTCTACATTGTATGTAATATTTACATGCCTAGAAATGTATAAAAAATGGCATATTTATTAACTTTGAACCTCCGTAACTTTTTATGGTACAGTGGTGGGGATGACCTCCTCTTTCGATCCCCCCCGCCCCTTCGGGGATGGGTTGCCATCATTTAGACCTTTATCAAACATTCTTCAAGAAATCCCCAGTTTTTTATCAAAGTGTTTTATACTCCGGTTTAATTAAAAAATCCCAAAAATCTACTTCTTTTTAGTCTTTTCGTTGAAACAAAAAAATGGCATGACTGAATGTTATGCAATTTCGTTTTTAATCAACAACCTCAACGAGTCGATATCATTTTTTTCCGAGCGATATCGTGCAGGAAAACAATGACCACGCACGTACGTAATTATACACACATATGCAGGTAATCTCCAAATTGTTGCAATGCTGATATGACCTTTAAACTGTAAAATGAAATTAATAATAAAAAAAATCGACACACAATTTTTGAGTAATTGTTTTTTCTGAAAGGCACAACAAAATATAATTGTAGAGCTACACATTTTTTTTAACAAATAAAAGTTAGAAGAAGAAGTAACAATTGAAAGAAGGAAGTTAAAATTGTGAAATATTTGAAAAATAAATAGCAATAAACTCAAAAAACAAAAACGAAAAATGAATGAAAATCTTAATATTATTATGGAAAAAACATGCATGTAGCGCAATAAGTACTACCCATTATCTACATAGGTAGGTACGTCAAAAAATAAAAATAATCAAGGAAAAATTAAGTAATCGTCACGTCGAAAATTCAAATCAAAATATAAGACCATGTTAAATTGAATTGTCTCCATTGTTAAGTATAATATTTAAAAAAAATATAATTTTTTTGTTTTTCTGTTATTGAGTGTATTAAAATTTATTTGATTTAATTTGTGATAAATAAGTTTTTATTTTGAGTAATAATCTTATCTTAAGAGAAAGTCAACTCCATGAGGGCTTTTCCAGTTATAATTCAAAAGTATATTTAGTCAAACTGTACCGATGACCAAATAATGACAAATATTCCCAAAGGGAATACCTTTTTTTAAATATCAAACTGTTTAAACATATTTAGTTATCATGCCTGATTAATTTTGAAATGAAATGAAACTTGTAACTTGCAATAGACAGTCATTTATTTCACATCTTTAATTTAGAAAATATTTTATTTATTTACCTATTTATTAAAAATTGAAACCCGAAAATGACGTAACCCGGTCCGTTTGGGGGCGCATATTTTGAGATTATTAGTCGAGTTTGACCAGTGTTAATTACCGTCCTTTTCCGCAATTAGTTCATTATTTTAACGGCGGTGTTAATTACGGCATAAACGATTTTCCAGTGAGATTTCTCATCAAATCCGTCATTCTTACTAACGAAATCGATACTTGACGTGAATATTGTAACTATGTACCTGCTACACATTCTTGTACAAACGCGAAAATTTTACATGTATGTGTGCAGATATCTATTAAAGGAAGACAGTGTACGTAGTCGATGGTAAAATTTTTCAATCGTGAATTGTGCATCGTGATATGCGTGTAGGTATTAGATAAATTTGCTTACCAAAGAGTTGGAGTTGATTGGTTGTTTTACGATTTACACACTGTGAGTTTGAATGGTACTGGCTAGTACCTTAGTTAAACTGCCTGTGACGTAGCTTGATACAGCTTCCTCCGGCAGAACGGACTTTTAACGACGACGAAACAACGACGGCGGCGTCGCTCGTTGAGCGTCGTCACGGTATGGAGCGGCAGCACTTCTGTGTAAGTATGTACACGGCGCGTCGGGACGGCGGCAAGCGTCTATATTTTCTCTCTCTGGCGTACTGTATCTCGTCCTGGCGAATGAATGAAACGCTACATTTGATAGGGTGACCCGAGCTTATAAGAGAAAGAGACGGTCGTTTCGTTCTTGTTTTATTGACGCAGGATCAAACAGAACGAACGGGCTTGAAAGGGGCGAAGAAAATATGGCAAAGAATATGTACGATCCTCTCTCTGGCGTACTGTATCTCGTCCTGGCGAATGAATGAAACGCTACATTTGATAGGGTGACCCGAGCTTATAAGAGAAAGAGACGGTCGTTGCGTTCTTGTTTTATTGACGCAGGATCAAACAGAACGAACGGGCTTGAAAGGGGCGAAGAAAATATGGTACAGAATATGTACGATCCGCTTTCGGGAAATATAATATTTTTTATTATTAAAGTACTGATAAGAATACAATGCGTGGTTCGCAGGGTTGAGATGATTTAAATCAGTTGACTAAAATCACGATTTTAATCAGTCTGATCTTTTTTCAAATAAAATCATGATTAATTTAAGAAAATTAAGATATTTGGACACTTAAAAATACATTTTTTAATAAAAGAAGTAGACCCTACAAATATTTTTATGTTAATA